AGTATATGGATACTTAAGGATCGATCCGCCCATCCTTAGTATGGCTGTGTTCAGGTGATTATCTAACGAAACAGTCCTGTAATACTTTCCCATGAGACCGAGAATACACAGTGACAGTAGAGGAGAAAAGTGTCGCCAAGGCCGACAGCATGTATCTGTTACTTCATCTCTCTTTTTTTATATTATGCATGTATTTCTTTATGCAACACTGTCATAAAATGCTAACATCAACATGTGCAGAGAGTGCAAAGTGTGCAGGATGTGAAAGGCTGGTTATTTGGTCCAAAATAGCACCAACACACACACACACACACACTTACTGATGGCATCAAAGACTTAAAGGGATAGTTCACCCAAAAATGAAAATTACTCAATGATTTACTAATCTTCAAGCCATCCTAGGTGTATATGACATTCTTCTTTCAGACGAATACAATCGGAGTTATATTAAAAAATAAAGGCCTTCTGAAGCGACGCGATGCATTTGTGTAAGAAAAATATCCATATTTACAACTTTATAAACCTTAATCTCTAGCTTCTGCTAACTGTCATACATGCATTCACGAGAGAGTGGCGTCCAGCGGATGACATAGGCGTAGCGTAAACTCCGGTGAGAATATGCTAGTCTCGCGAGAAACAAGTTTTGTTTACAGCAAAGGAAAACCAGTGTTCTCTTGGCTTATATTGAAATACTCTGACATTCTTCTTTACCATTCCTCCTTTTGTACTACTAATTCGTGACCGGTGTTTTGTTTTGCTCTCTCCTCTGCGCTTCCACGTTCATCACTTTCGCATTCGTCACCGCGTTTGCCATCAGCTGGACGCCACTCTCTCGTGAACGCACGTACGACAGTTAGCGGAAGTTAGAGATTAAGGTTTATAAAGATGTAAATATAGATACTTGTCTTAAACAAACGCATCGCTTCACTTCGGGAGGCCTTTATTAACCCCCCGGAGCTGTGTGGACTTATTTTATAATGGATTGGTTACATTTTTTGGACTCCAAATTTTGGGCTACCATCCACTCCCATTATAAAGCATGGAAGAGCCAGGATGTTTTTTAATATAACTCCGATTGTATTCGTCTGAAAGAAGAAAGTAATATACATCTAGGATGGCTTAAGGGTGAGTAAATCTATGGGATCAGGTTCCCGCCTAAAATATTGCAGTCACGGGAAGGCGATATTTAGGCGAGAATCTGATCCCATATAAATCATGGAATAATTTGGGTGAACTAACCCTTTAATGTTGTTTTGATCTCAATAATAGTCATGAAAATACTTATAAGAGCCCACAAAATACTTATTTTTAAGCTTGAATAAAGTAAATCATGGAAGAGGCTTTTAACCCAATGTTACTGACATTCTGTCATTCTATTGTCATTCTAAACCCTGTTTTTAACCCCGGGTAAAGGAACATTTCACACTTGTCATTTATCACTACTTCTAACCCAGGGTTATAAGTTAGCACTGCTTTTGGTACAGCTAGATAGATAAACAGATACAGCTAAATCCTTAGCAATAGACTAAGTTGCTGTTTCAGCATTTGAGACAAAACTGTCAAACAACAAAAATGAATTTGAGTAAAGAAAAGACTGTTTTATTCTTACCTTTATAGTCCACCAAAAAGTCCATTTAGGAAAACTTGATAGTACAGTATAATACTGGGATGCTAAGCTTTATAAACATGTTGCGTGCTGCCTTTGTCCATCAATGAACCGCACGCAGAATGTACAGCATTAAACGTCAGTTTGTGATTGTGAATACCAAGGTTTTATTATTAACCCCTGGTAATTAATGAGCAGTATGAAACCTGAAACAACCCATCATTTCTGTGAAAAGTGAAAAGCCCTAAAAAGTGTTTTTATTGGTTTGAAGCTAAACAAAAATAAAACATACATGAAATTAATGAATAAACAAAATAAATATATTATTTAATATTTATTATTACTTAATATTAATTTAATACTAATTAATTTGCATTTATTTATTTGTTTACCTTTTTTTTGTATTAGCATTTCCATACTACTTCACAGTTAAAAATTAAGGGCAAGAATGACATGATGCAATTAGCATGCGTGCCCCGCACCCACCCATCATGCACACCACACACACACACACACACACACACACACAGCATGACGTCGACAGCAGCTGACACAACCAAGGAGGAAATCATCTGTTCCTCCACTGACCGACATCGACATTGTCTATGTTTGACTACTCTGTTGTTAAGCTGGAAGAATGTCTGATATCTACTCACGTGGAAACAGAAATTAATGCCACAAGGCAAAAAGCAACTTCATGCCAAATCCAAATTAAGGTCAAGCTATTTTATTGCTGTTGTTTTTAGGTTTGCGTGTGTATTTCTTGTTTTGAACTGAAGAAGATTTTAATTTTAAAGAGCCCATAGGCCTACAGCAAAGGCCACATAACACACGTTTTCTTGGAGATTTTTAAAACAAGCTTACCTTTTCAGCAGGAGTTGCTTTGGATGCTTTTTTCACAAGTTCTACATTGTGACCCTTTGCAGGCATCCCAGCTTCTAGTCTTAAAGATATAGTCTCAAGTGGTTTTGAGGTAGCACAATGAAAAATGGACTCCCAGCTGTCATAGCCATACTTTTTAGATATGGGGTGCTGGTAGAGGATTTCAGAGAGGTTTTCCAAACACATTTTACTTATGTAATGTGAAATTATATAGCCTGTAGTTTATATGTGTGCAGTTGACATAGCCTACATACTGTATAGCAGATGTGCCTTAATGAGTAAGTAATTGAGTCTCAACCAATTTGTTCAAAAGTACTGATTCATTCAGAAACAAAACACCAATATGCGGTTCTGCTTCGATATTGGTTGGAACTATTTTGGCAGAGCAAAAATAAACAAATGAACTGGCAATACTGATGTCTAAAACATAAGTGATGTCTAAAATATAAACTCAGTGGAACTGAGAAATGCTGGCAAAAAGTTTGATTTTACTTCAGTTAACATGCATTTTATTTTTAAGTAACATTTTTAAATATAATTGTAGTTTTAGTTTTAATTAATTATAATAACCCAGATTTTATGTAGAAAATCCATTGCAGCAGATATTGTGGTGATGAGGTACTTTCGTTATGGAATAAATAAATGATTGAATGGACTTCTGTAAATGTCTCATTATCACCCACACCTTATTTGCCCTTTGAATTCAACTACAAACACTGCAATAACCTTCTAATAGCTCTATAATCCAGTTTTCTCAGTCAGACCAGTGTTTCTGCAATGTGTGGAATAGATTTTATGTTGGATTTGACAGTGAAACACTTTTTGTAGAAACTCCATGAGCACCACATACTGGTCATTTCAATGACCTTTCTAATAGCGCCTGAAACACACAAACATACCCACTTACTCATAAACATAAATATGTTCCTCTCTCATAAGTTCTTGTGTCATTTAACTTTAATAAATCTTTTAGGTCTTCAATGATTTGCTGAACACAATTAAGGAGACTGAACAAACTGAATCACGCCAATTGATATGACTTATTTATTTGCTATATAACTTTTACAAAGAAATGTGCTTTAAAAAATATTAATCAAATAAATGTGTAATAAAACAGGCGTTTGGATATGTTTTAGACATTTTCAAAGATTTTACAAAAGCAAACCCACACTGCCCCCCTCTGGCCTCTAGTAAAACTAATCCCACTGACTGATCTGACCACCAAAATTATTTGCATTCAGACAGAACATGGACAAGTGAAAATATACATTGTCATACTTCAAAACAACAATGTCCATTATATGTGATGACAAAGCAAATGTCCAGGTAGAAGAAGCATATTCCTAACACATATTATTTTTAAATGAATTGAGGTTATCTTGAGCATCATTTGAACGTCATTTGAATTATCTCGTGGTGTACATTGCCAAAGTAATACGGAAATGTCCAAAGTGCTGTCTTGCAAAAACTGAAACCTGCTCTTTGTGATTCATTCTGAGAGATGCAGTAAATTGATACTTCCTCATCTACCAGAGTCTAAAGAAAGGCTTTTGCAAACACTGCATGCATGCAAACCAAATTTACCAAAAACTCACCACATAAGCATTTACACACATCAACCTCTGTCCTACCTATGTCCTTTCCTATTTCTCTCATAAGCACACAAGCACTAAACTGAATGGAAAATTTGTGGTTAAGATTCATATCTTTTTAACTGAGAATAAAACAAGACCCTTTCACGAGAAAAGCTCAGACAGTGTAACTGAGTAAAACCCCTTTGAAAAGAAACTCTGATGCTTTGAATATTTGATTCAAATTTGCTTTGATTTTCATTTGATCTTAACTGTTCAACAAAAGCAAATGCTCAATTAGTAAACAGGCAGATCTAACATGCACCAATCTGAAGGAAAGTAATAAAAAGAAAAAACAAAGAATGTATATTAATACTGAGGAGTAACTAATGTGCCCAGTAATGTGCTTTTTTCTTTATAGTATTAAGATAGTTTTAAGACTGCCTGTTTGCTTGTCAGTGTCACAAGCTGTTATCCAAACACGCTATCCTACTCAGCATGGAGTGTGTTTTGGAGAAACTGGGCTAATTGCAAAAATGAGTTAGATAAATGTTGCAGACATTCAGTTTAAGATAAATACACACACGTTATACTAAACACCACTTCACACAGGAAACCTACTTGCACATCCTGTTATTCAAATCATCACTGTATGTCTACAAAGACTGTACTAACACACTTCTGTTAGAGGTGAGAGAAAAAAAACACTTATACCTCACTGAGTACCAGAGTAACAATTCAGGTTTGAATTTTTTAGCTCATAAAAATATCAATGTTAAAAGTATCCAAGTATGTAATTACATACATTTTACTTTCAGATGTAATAGTAAAAAAGTCCTCTACCTTGTATGATGATTACATGTGATGTTACATGACAATAAAACCTGCAACTTGTCTTATATTTGGAAAGTTTCAGAATCCACCTCAGTTCTGTTTTAGGTCTATTCAGTTTGTGTTCTGACCTGAGCGTAAGTACTGAAGTCAGAACTCTGCACTCGCTTTGTCTTGCGTTGTTTTTGTCTCTTGGTGATCACATCTAAAGATGCATAACACACCTCTTCATCCGTGCACTGAAATGAAAATTAATAAATTTACATTTTGGTTTTTAGAAAAAAAAGCCAATGTCTGTAATGAGTGTGTATGTTCATATTGTTCATACCTCAGCTATATTTCTACCATTTAACTTGTTTTTCTGATCTGTTGCAGCATCTACAATGGATTGTTAAATTAGAATATCACTTACATACATAAATGCTTTAAAGTACATGAAATTCTGGTTATGTGTTACATTTCAGTTTCTAACATTACTATTAAATTTGTATGCATGCCTTTCTCATCCAAAGTATGGTAATTGACAAAGCTGTTGACCTGTATATTAAAGTAAACACACACACACACACACACACAAAGGATTGTGAATTAGTGAATGATTACCTGTAGTTTTCTTACAACAGAGGCAGTACACACAGATGGAGGAGAGGAGAACGCACACTGGACACACACTGAACAGCAGCGTCCAGCAGAGCACACAGTCTGATACAGGAGGTGGTATGGAGGTGGTATTCAAGGGTCCAGAACAGGAAGATACTTGCTCAACTAAACATAAACAAAATATATTATTTTTATTCTGTTTGTCTTTTTTCTTCGCTGAGAAAGGAAAAGTTCCCCAGAATTACACAATCAATGATATAATAACTGTCAGACTTGTTTTCTTACCTTTCAGAGAGAGACGAGTTGTTTGGTTTCCATAATAATACACTTCTGATGAGGAGATGATCCCTTTTGCATTTTTCGTTATATTATTCTCTAGTTTTGCACAGTAGTACAGTCCCAGATCAGAGACACTGATGTTAGTAATATGTAGATCATAGGATTTACTGTAGGGGTTGTGGATAAAGCTGAATCGCTGAAATATCTCCTTGCCCAGTTTCCTAAAATCTATAATGAGAGAGGGTTGATTTTCATGAGAGCAGTTTCTTATCCATACAACGACAGAACCAAGAGTTAGAGAGCGATCACAGTAGAGAGTGATGTTGTCTCCTGGTCTGACTTTCATCTCCATTTCTTCTCCATTGATTCTTTTCTGACAGAAAAGTAAGACATCTGTAAAAGCACAAAAGAACTTTATGAAGCACTTCAAATTGTACGATTATACCAAAATATTCACAGTAGTGACATTTTTATTTAGCTAAAGAAGTATATGTTTTCTTACACATGAGCGCGATGAGAGCGAGTCTTGTCCTCTCCATCTCAGTGAGTGATTGTGCGTGTGACACTGACAATGACACTGGTGAGGGTCTTAATGCAGATGTCAACTTTTATCTGATTGGTTCACGTCAATGGAAAGTTTTGCCTAAAGCGGTCTGCGTCATGAGGGGTTGGCAGTAAATCGAGTTGTTTGTATGGAAGTAACAAAGAGCTACTTTATAGATTTTTATTTTTGCTCAGATTTGGATTTGTGATCAGGCACCTGATTGGTTCATAAAAATGGAACTGTTCATGATAACTTTTGTTTATCTGATAGATATGTTTAACTATATATTTGATTCAGACATGAAGATAAGGCATCCTTATTTGAGACAAGTTGCCATTTACATTTCAAATTCAATTAGTCAATGCATGCCTCTCATGAGTTTTTGAATCAAAGTTCACCTATAAAATTCATATGGTTCTTTGTATCATTTTAATGGGTTCAATTCAACATCTAAACATGTCAAAACAGGAAACCCACAAGTCTTTCATTCAGACCACTTACAAACACCACATTTGCAACTCGTCATGAAACTCTCCCTTCACATCTCTTAGTTGATCATTGGTCGCCAAGCACAAATGTTTCCATTAGCCTTTGTGTGGTTTTGTGTTTTGGTTGAAGTGCACATATTTGCAAGAGAGAAGTTAAAATAACTGCTGCTAATGCTCTGTACTGTTGTTAAACTGACACTGACGGATGTCCACTGAGCTGGAATTAGCTACATTTAATTATGAGACAGTGTAATTTGGCATAACACAAGTGAAGATGAATAAATCATGCCCAACTATAAAGAAAAGTGTAATGGTAGCAAGACTAGCGGGTCCTCATGGGTCAGATAGGTCTATGAGAGTCTAAAAACAACAGGTTCTTTAATATTTAAGGGGAGTGAAAAACCATGCATATGTCTCTGACAGCATTTTCCCCAGTTTAGAAAACCTCATGAACAAACTATTGCTTGCTTAAAATTTACTTTTAAAAAAATCCAAAGATGTTTTTGCAAGATAAATGTTTGCAAATATTTGAAAATGATTAAAAATAATATTCAAAAAGCTGAGCATGATTTGAATGAACATACATATGTGGTGTAAATTGTTAATTATTTTTGCAAGGTGCTAATATGGCTTCTCTTAATAGCCTACTTCCTCAACAAACAGGAAGCACAACCACAAATAGGCCAACTTTATGTATCAGAAATTACGCAGATGTCTGTTGTTCTAAATCCAAAGATGTTTTTGCAAGATAAATGTTTGCAAATATTTGAAGGGAGCTGTCCAATGTGCTGAATTTATACTAGGAAAAAATGTATTTCCTTAAAAATGTATTTGATTAAAGATTTGATTAGAAAAATTCTGTCATTTACTTATCCTTATGTCGCTCTAAACTATTATAAAAATATAAGTAGTTCATATAAGTAGGATGTATTCCATATGGTTTTATACTGAAATATTGTCTTCCCTGCTCCCTTTATTCGACTGGGAGCTGTCCAATGTGCTGAATTTATACTAGGAAAAAATGTAGTTCCTTAAAAATATATTTGATTAAAGATTTGATTAGAAAAATTCTGTCATTTACTTATCCTTATGTCGCTCTAAACTATTATAAAAATATAAGTAGTTCATATAAGTAGGATGTATTCCATATGGTTTTGTACTGAAATATTGTCTTCCCTGCTCCCTTTATTCGAATCTGGTGCACAAAACCGTCTTGCTGTTTGTGGCTCAGTGAGCACACTTGACACAGAGAATGCGGCTGGGCTGAAGAAATTTTACACACTCGAGTGTAATGCTTATTTTATTTATTTATTTATTTAATAAAAAAAAAAATTGGTATGCTTATTTTAAATTGATTTACATTTGTGTGTATATTTATTTATTTAGCAAATTTATTTAGCAAATGTAGGCAATTAACATAAAGGCAAGATATTAATTTCTTAGTGTTCTATTACAATGGACCATATTGCTAACAAGGTTACAAGCAGAGATGGTCTCATTATTGGGAGATACCAAGGTCCATTGCTCTACCATTGGAGAAAGTGTAACTTGGATCATAACTCAAATTTGATCATGTCAGGTGTGCTTTTTGACACCATTGGATTTCTGAGCTGTGCAACAGTCAAATTCCATTTGTGGACATAGATTTTTATACATAGATCCACATTCGACCACTCCAGAGACTTGTGATGCATGCCAATTTGCATACATATGCACTATTTGTGCTGCTTTTTAGTGTGTTCACACTGAAAATTCCAACAAGAAAAATGCACTTCAAATGTCTAGATGATACACTTAAATAGTCTAACCGAAAAAAAAATGAACTGTGGAATGTGGAATGCTTTTAGTATGAATATGTCAGGCCATTTAGAAGATATACATAAGCATTCAAAACGTATAGTCTCTCACTTTCTCCAATAGACCTCTTTCACACTTCCGCATTTGAAAAAAAAGGCATAAGCTTCTAATAGTAGTGTAAAATAACTTAGGCTGTAACCTGCATGAAGGGCAGTGCCCATAGCATGTACTGTTAAACAATGTATGGGAGAAATTACTAATAATTGCATTACTTTCACAGTAATTTCACAGCATTCTGTGTTTCTACAGTGCATATGTATAATGTATCCCAGCATGCAATGCAGCATGAATAGATCATGCTGTAGAGTTTTTTGTGTGTGTGTGTGTGT